ATCTATCTATCTATCTATCTATCTATCTATCTATCTATCTATCTATCTATCTATCTATCTATCTATCTATCTATCTATCTATCTATCTATCTATCTATCACTTGCAATTGATCTTCTATCTATCATAAGCCAAGGAGAAACACACGGGCGACAGCACTGTCAATGGACGTGATGCAATGGGAAATCAGGATGTCGTGAGACTTAAACTTTGACCAGCAGATAATGAAAGCACGCGAGACGGCTGCTGCGGGTGTTGGAACAGATAAAAAGGGTAGCGTACCACTGCCGGCGTCACTTCACTTTTCTGCTCGCATAGAAAACAGACAACCTTGCTCAGACTTCGACTTACGTGTCTCACCTCATTTCAGTAAGGTGAGATTATCATCACGGCATTGCTTTTGTCCCCTTATGTGCGTGCTTGTTACTTAAAGTAGACGCAGGTAGATGACATTACAGTAATTAATGTGTTGCTTGTTTTGCTATTTTAAAAAGAATATTATAACCCTGAAAAGCAAGTGCGCTATTATGTCGCCTGAGGTCCATTCACGCCAGACTAGCCGATTTCCTTTCTTATTCGATTTATTGTATAAAAAAAGCTGGGTGCTTGAAAACGCTCGGAACCCAGCATTGAAATCAGAGATACGCAGTTCGTCTTTGCTTTCAGTCTTGCAATGATAACATATTATTTTTTCAGCTTGAAAATCGCCTTCTTGTACCTGAGACGTTGCACTAGTGTTAAGGTTTCAGTTAAAAACTTTCTTGAGAACCGTAGATCTATGCCTATGTTCTCAAAACAAAGATCCAGCACAGTTGTTTCGATATAATAACAATGCGTTGTAGGAACGGAAAGATCGACAAAATAACTAGGAATGCCAAATAATTATACTGATGATGACGACGATGACGACAACAGTACGATGATGATGATATTTTTATCACGTTCCCGAAGAGCTCATTGGGGCAAAACGTTGAACACATTTTGTAATGTCATGAACATATTTCATAATATCATGAATATTCAAATGCCGGTTGGCCTACTCAAATCTCCACCATTTTTTAAATTATCGTTCTTACGACGACGACGATGATGAAGATGATGAGGAGAAGGAGGAGGAGTATGATGATGATGATGATGAAATAATATTTTAAGAATATTCTCTTATTCCACTCATCAGAAAATAATAATATGGCTTTGGAAGGCAGCTACACCACCACCACCGTGCTCCTCGTGGCAGCAACAGGCGCCGTCGTGGCTTTTGTCGTAGGCTACAAGCTGGGACAGTCAAAGGGCAGCGGCAAATAAGGTCAAGGTCGTGGTACAGAACACAAGTGTACAAGGTGAATTTACGTGATACGAGTATTGAGTATGTTTTGCTCGTCTTTGGATATGTTGTCTGTTTTGTCTGTTTTAGTGTGGGTGG